CACACACACACACACACACGCACACACACAAGCATCTAGGTAAGCCGACTCGAAGCGCTGGTCTCGCACTGGGGTCGTCCGCTCTCGCATGATGGTACTCGTGTAATTTGCGCCTGATGGTCGTTGGCGTCCCTCTGTCTACGGATGGCGGTACAACGGGGCACGCTAGCCGGCGAGCCCTGGCGCCTTCGGCTCGATGAAACTAACACTTCTGATACACGTAGCAGACGACCCCTGCCGTTACCGAAGCCAGCGCAGATAGCGCGAAAGAGAGAGAGAGAGAGAGAGGTGCAGTGATGCTAACTTGCACTTTGATCCGCTTCATGTCCACAGTTCTCTCACCCGACCCGACCCGACCCGTCTCGGTGTCAGTTTTGTATTTGTACCCTCGTCCATGCATTTCAATCCGCATACCACACAAGCATGTAGCGACACAGGCAACGTCGTGACCGATGAGGCAGGCAGACAAGTGCAGTTGGAAGTGAGGAATGTCGATGTGGCATGGGTGGGTGCAGGAGAGATCGGGTTGGCTCGGGGGGATGGGAACTCGATCGGAAATCTGATCGCAGGGTGCAGGATGGCATGCGCGGGGCAGCTGGGAAGGCCACGTCGAGGCGGAAAAAGAGGTTCGAGGCAACAGGGCTGTGCGTGCAAAGCGTTGATCGCATCGCCCCCTTTTTTTTAGATAGCAATTTGTGAGATTTTCGGCCGGCTGCAGAGTGAGTGAGTCGGCTGAGGTGACCGGCTGAGTCGGAAAGGCTGGCTTTGAGCTCCACTTTTTGATCATCGCTCTCTGCTGCTGCTGCTGCTGCGCTCAGAGCTGCGGCGCGCGCATTGGCACTTTTGGGCGCCGCATTCACACCCCTCTCGCTCGCAGCGCCAGAGCTTCGTTCCTTTCATCACCCCCACCACCACCACTACCAATCCCAACCCACACCCATCTTTGCTACACTCGATCTCAGGTGTCGCATCGATAGTCGCATACTCCTGTGTACCGCACACAGAGCCAACAGATCGCACCAGCGCCAACCAACCAACCCATGGCTCACAGCGAACGGTCACCATCCCACCCGCTCGCTGGCTTGCATCGCTAACGTCCCTGCATCAGCTCCTTGACCCTCTTCTTCCACAGCTCCCCCTCCGCCATTGTTTGATCTCACGCATAGCACCATTTAGCTCGCCACCATCACCATCAACACCACCACCAATATCGTCATCTCCGTCGACCCAGCTCGAGCGGTTTGCATTTTCATGCCTCCAGCGTCGTCCTAGTCGCGTTTCCCCCTCTTGATAGTATCCGGCATCGCTGTCGCATAGGTCGTGTCCACTTTCCGACCAGCCTGGCGTGCCGTGATCGTGCCCCCGCCCCTCGCAGGTTTCGAAGAACACCAGTGCGTCTAGCCACCACGCTTCGTTGGCAGGAATCAGTCGGTTGCATCCCCCTTTCCTTGCCCACGCCGAGCTAAGCTTATTGGCACTCTCCATGCCTATCGATCAGAGCCCGGCAAAGCTAAGCTCCCCCTCCAGATCTCGCTCCTTGGCTCGCAACTCCACCGCCCCGGCCATACCTGGCCCACCCACCTCCTCAACCCCCGGAACTTCCCCCACAAAACCCTCGCCCGCCACCACCACACCGCGCAGAAGCTCCCGAATCTCCAGCGCTGCCAGGCTGGCTGACGACTCTTCCGACTCTCGAAGCGAGACCTCCTTCTCCTCCACCACTCTCGCCTCGGCACCCGCCACCCCCGCCACCGCCGCCTCCGCCTCGGCTTCCAACCCTCCCTCCACAAGCCGCAAGTCCCGCGTCTCTGCTGGTCCATCGCCAGCGTCGTCATCTTCCACCTTGGCGAACACGCAACCCACCCCCTCCAGGGTCGGCACCTCCGTCTCCACCTCCGACCAATCCAACCCAGCTCGTCAAGCAAAGGGCAAGGCAAAAGCAAAGTCAAAGGGCAAGGGCAAGGGCAAAGCTAAGGCATCCCCCGCCCCCTCCACCTCTGCTTCCAAGTCTCAGTCGGCATCCTCGTCGTCCACCTCGGCAAAAGGCAAGCGCAAAGCGGACAGCTCCTCCCAGTCAGCTTCCAAAAAGTCTTCGCCCACCCAGTCCGCAGGCGGCTCCAGCAACAAGCGTCCCAAACTCGATCCGCAGTCCAACGCATCCACCAGCAAACAGGCCGACAGCGCTTCTTCCACCTCGTCTCGTACCCTTCGATCTCGTGACAAGATGACCGGCGTCGAATCCAACGCCAGCGATGCGCGGGCTAACACCCGATCCAAGTCGAGCCAGGACAAGTCCTCGTCCAAGTCCAAGCGCGCACCCACCGGCGCATCGGCTCGACCCTCGGCAGACTTCGACTGCTCCGATTCAGCCGCACAGCAGGACGCAGACGTCCACATGTCGGACCTCGCCGATCAGTGCGACGATCACCCTGACGTTGACATGTCCGGTCACGATCACGAAGACGATGACGAAGGCCTCGACGCATTCGGTCATCACCACCACGACGACGACGACGACGACGATGATGAAGACGAGGATGATGACGAGCACGACGATGAGGACCAC